TGTGTGTGTGTATATATGTGTGTGTGTGTGTGTGTGTGTATATGTGTGTGTGTGTGTGTGTGTGTGTATATGTGTGTGTGTGTGTGTATATGTGTGTGTGTGTGTGTGTGTGTGTATATATATATATATATATATATATATATATATATGAAAGGAAAGCAGATGGTGGGTGTGAGAGACCAGAAGCTCACTTGTTGCAAGGGGGAAGCACATTCATTTCCAAAAACGGAGCCGTTTGATACCTAGCTTTATTTACTTGATTTCTGAAAACCTACACTTTGGTTCTTCTTCGAGTGATTGCTCCTGTGTATTCCACAGTAGGTGTGCGTGCTCGCCACATGCACCGGTGCTGGAAGTTTTTCCCTTAGCAGTACCCGTAGCGGGGGAGCACCGCTGCGTCCCCTAGAGTGGTGCCGCTATAGTGCACTATAAGGGGAGCTGCGCTCTCCCCCCGCCTCAGTTCCTTCTTGCCGCCAGTGAAGGTAGTTGGAACTTGTGCTGCAGCAAAGCTGGAGCACCTTATCTTCTCTAGCAGTACCGTTCATCGGATCGTTTCTCAACATCAGCTTAGAACCGGGGCATGCCCCGCGCTCCAGGCTTCAAGTCGTGTGACTCCTGTCGCCGCTCTATGCCCAGGAGCGACCCCCATGCTAAGTGTCTTCACTGCCTGGGTGAGACTCATATTAGCGACCGTTGCAAAATCTGTAGGTCGTTCAAACCAAGGACTAAAAAGGAGAGGGACTTCGGACTTAGCTCTCCTGATGGAGTCGGCGTCAGCTCCGACCCCGGTGCGCAGATCGGACTTGGCACCGTCCGCCGCGTTGTCGGTACGCAGCGAGGCCACTTTGACCAGCAGGCACTGCTGTGGAATAGACAGGAGCAACACATCTCGAAGAACGCCAGTTACGGAACAGGTAACTGTCCTTTTCTAGCTGGCTTGGCTAGTGCACAGCAGCATCTTTATTTTCTACATCAAGGTGGCAATACTGGGGCAAATTCTAGCCTCACCCATCCACATGGCATTCTTATTCCAATAAGAACTGAATGTAAGCATTCACGGGCAGCATTTAACCAGTTACGCTGAGTGGTATCCCAGAACTGCCACCCAAACTTCCATCCCACATTCTATGATCCCAGGATGAGTATCATTTTCTTCTTCTTTGAGACGGTTTACCCACCCCCCTCCATCATTAGCAGCAGCTGCTGCTGCCGCTAATAAACATCCAACAGCTGTTTCCTTTCACATGCTAAAGCTTTCTTATGGCATAGACTCTAAGGAATGGGATAGTGATGTTGAATTCTCCTTTCAGCCTGAAGCACAGAAGTCCAGAGGTGGGAAGTGTTCCCAACTCTTGTTTGTTTATCATGAATCTTGGATTATTTTGTGAGGGCCTTTAAAACCCCATCTTTTGAAATAAGATTATGTGATAATCTCCGTTTCCCCCTCACCCCCTCTTTTCTTAGTTATAAGTACATTTCCAGCCCTTGAGCTTGCGAAGAAAAGCTTGAAAATGTGACACCCCCCCCCATCCCCACCCACAGACACCCCTAAAGCTCAAAGCCCAGCTGGTAAATAACAAGTCTAAACTTTATTATGTTTAACATCTCATGATTTTAAAATTTCATTATTTTTAAATCAATCTTATGACTTTGGGGGCTCATTCATTGGTTTTCTTTTTTGTTTTTTGTTTTTGAATGCCTGGGACTGGCAATACTGGGCAAAACTTAAACCCAAATCCTTCCATGTGACAGCTAATAATCATTACCATCTATGACATCAGAGTAACAAATATTTAAGCACATGATTAAAATCATGTCAACCTACTGGAAAGTTGATATATCAACAGTGAATTCATTGAAGAAATAAAGATCTGTTGAAACTTACATAATGGCTTCTTTACAGTTTTGGAGTTTTGCAGAGTGCCTATAGTTCTTCTATAATTCAAACGCCTAAATATTAAATAGTTATACATGAGTGACTTATAAAGAGAAATTTAATATAGACAGTTTATACATATGATGGTATGGCGGATGAAGAATTAAAGCTTTTTGCAAAAGGCAAATTTCTGATTCTGGCTTAGATGCATGTTTTAAATATTAAATTTAATGACATCAAATTGTCATTGCTGGGTAACAGGTGGAAAAAAGATGCTGAAAGATTAATATACCAGGGAAAGACTATCACAGAAATACAGATGCAAGTATGAAAAGTGTGGTTGTTTCCAAAGTACATTTGTTTCTATTCCCACTGTTTTTTTTTCCATCTCAGTTTTTTGTTTTATCTTTGGTACAAAGTCCTAATTTCATTCTCACTTATGAAAAATTAGCCAAATTCTACCATCAGAGTCTCCCACTTACTGAATTCAATGGGTAGTCAAAGGTATGAGATCAATCTCTAGTCCAAAATACATAATTTGAAGATATGATATTCAGAAATTATTCAGGGCCTGCCGGATGATCTTGGAGCTTCATGCTTATTCCATAAAAATCTAACAAACCAACTGAGCTAGCTGGAAAAGCATCTTGGATGGAGATGAAGTGAGACCGCCATGAACGACTCTAGAATATTTGAGTGCTCAAATTATTAGACCAGCTTCTAAACTTTGTTTTATACTCAAAATTTAGCTACCTGCTTGAAAACTACTTTTAACAAAAGCGATTAACTTTTCTTCAGACAACTGCACTTTGCACTGATCACTGGAGAACCTTCCTTAAAGACAGTTATTTATACTACATACCAGTACACAACTCCATAATGGGGGCTAAAACAAGATGCCCAGGGTTTTACATTATGTATATTCATGAGTGGGGGAGGGGGAGTTTAATCCCTTACACAAGTCCAGAGCAGCCCCAGATCTGAGAAAGAGGAGTGCCAGAATATTCATTTTTATCCCCAGGAAGGGGAATAATAGCTTTCCCGAGATCAATATTTGCAGAATTCCTAATATTCTAGAACACATTAGAGGAATACCAGCCACACTTAACTGATGTCTCTGTACAATACAGCCAGGTTAGGACAGCTACTGACAAAAATATGCTGGCTGTGCGTGAGCTGCTTTGAAAATTGGCTCTGTGGCCATGGTTTTCTGTTCACGCCCCCAGGGAGTGCTCACTAATAAGATTACAGCCTGAAGTACAGCCAAAACATTTTAATTAAAAAGATGAACTTTGGTAAACAGCTGAACCCAGCTCTTTGGAAACCGTGGCAGCCAAACTGAGTTACAAGTACATACAAACAACACTACCCCAGAAATTCACTTTAATGGTGACCATGGTATTAACCTTCCCCTTGTACATAATCCAGTGCAAACACTGGAACTACCAATTAGTTCCAATGGGTGCCAGCGGAAGGAGTGTAGGTAGCATCTTTCCCCTCTTCCCCTGTAGCCTCACAGCAGTGGGACAGGATTCACTACTTGTTCTCTCGAGCACTAGGCTGTGCCCTCCTAATTTGCTTGATGTGTTCCATAGCCACGAAGATGGGTCGGACCCATGACCGCCCTGCCTATTGTGCTTTGGACAGCAGCACATTAGAGAGTGGTGAATGCTACAGTAAGGTGCCTATTAAGCACCGTTCTCGCCAGCCTCTGGGTCAACCTGACCAGATGTAGAAAGATGCATTGGGATTAAGGTTCAGATATGTGTGGGAGTGGAGGTTATTACAGACTAATTTTTTAATTAAAATGCCAGTGCTTTATAGAGTTCAGATGCTTGGCAAGTAGCAGCAGTATACACTTCTAAATAATAGCACCAATTTAGTGCTATTCGTTATCAGCAGTTTCCATGTTATAGTCTATTACTTGTTTTCCCTTATTCTTGAAAAAATAATTGTTCAGGATCTTCTCTCCATATCCTTGACAATTCCAGACAACGTTTTGCTTTCTCCATCTATTATGCCTCTTGGCAGCTTCTTAATTTATCATCATGCCAAAAATATTTTTCATGTGCTTAAATTTTATATGCTGTGGTCTGAAACTCTCATTTCCATATCTGTATTACATATTGCAGATTTGGATTATGAACTACAATCTGCTAAATCTACTTGCTGCAGCTCAATCATTTATATATGGCTTAACCAATTTACATCATTTTTAATTAGGAAATTGTGGCAACCTTTCTTCCAGATTTCATCTCAAGTCTGTTTTGGAAATGGCCAAAATGCTAAGTGGTAAAATCAACCTAAACTATACAGTCGTCTTGCATAATAAAAAGGAAGGGTACCTTGTTTCTCCACTTTGGCAGCTGCATTGTGTAACATTTTCCATTCATATAGCCCCTTCTACACAAGCATTTCACATTAACAAAATTAATTCAGCCTCAAAACCCTCACTCTGGAGAAGATATAGGACGTATTATCTCCATTTTGTAGAGGAGAAAAGTGAAGCACAGAGAGAAAATTACTTGGTAATCACAAAATATCTTCCAGTGTAAAGTATTTCCAATACTGAAACAAATTTAACAATGAGAATATTTGTTATGCAATGTATAAAGCACCTGTGGAACTCATTACCACATGGTATCCATAAGGTTAAGAACTTACAAAAGTTCAAGGGAGAGACACTTACACTAAGGTTTTAAAAAAAAAAAAAAAAAAAAAGGAAGAAACTGTGTCAGCCTTCATGCTTCAGGACAAAAACTAACAATTTACCACCTGAGCTAGGAAGGCTATTTGCATAATTTGTACATTTTGAGGATTTTTAGTACCTTTCTCTGGAGCTTTTGGTATTGGCCACTGTCAGACAGGATGCCGGAGTAGATAGCCTCCTGGTCTGATCCAGTGTGGCATTTCCTATACTTCCTGTCATAAAATAAGTAATGTCCCCAAACAAAGCATGAAAGCACCACAAAAATAATATAACATTATGGTTATGATTAATGAATGTATCATCCTATAACTTTCACTGACAAACCTTTCTTGGAACTGTTTTGAAGGGATCAATCCTGCCCTGAGGTTGGTATCACCAACACGCTTTGCCTGCCACCATGTTGGATCATCCTGGCTCACAACTTCTAAGATGTGTCTCCTCTTAAACGGCAACCCTGCCTCCTGACAGGGAATGGCTTTGTCCTCTTTTGGATTATAGCAGAAGAGTGCCCTCATAAATACCTTTAAGAAAAAATAACATACTCTTTGCTGCTTGTCCCACGTAGAATTTTAAAGCACTTTTAGAATGGCATTTCCACATCCCTAAATATTATATGGATTATACGTGGTTTCATACTGAAGTGGAAGCGTATCAAGCTACACTTACATACAAGTTTGATTTGCTCACTACTGTAGAAAATGTGACTTTTTCTAGGTTGTGTCAAAAGAAATAGTGTGGTAGCAAAGCGAGGCCCAAAGAAAGACCAAGGCCTCACTGCACTGGGCACTGCACAAGCATCTACACAGACAGTCCTAGCTGAAACCAGCTTTGTCTAAATAAGGACAAAATGCAACAACTGGATAGAGGGAAAAATAAGGAGAGGGGCTAGGAAGGGGGCAATATGGTAACAGTAATAGAAACACAAGTTTGTGTAGATTAGCTATTTATTTATAAAAGTTACAGGATTCAGTATCTACAAAACATTTTTTGCAGGGCTGCCCAGAGGGAGGGGAGCAAGTGGGGCAATTTGCCCCGGGCCCCGCGAGCCCTGGCCCTGCAGCAGTCCGGGTCTTCGGCGGTGGGGGGCCCCTTCAGTGCTGCCGAAGATGCAGAGCGACTGAAGGGGCCCCCCGCGGCCGAAATGCCGCCGAAGATTCAAACCGCCGCCTGGTGAGTACAAGCGCCGCAGTTCCCCCGCTTTGCCCCAGGCCCCCTGAATCCTCTGGGCGGGCCTGGTTTTTTGTACTACACAAATGGACACCAGATTTAGAAGAATCTGTAACAAGCAAACTGCCAATCATTATTAGGCATCTTACTATGGTCGTAAGAGAAATGGAGCTCGAAAAATATTTGAAAGGATCTAAAGTGGATTTGTGAATTGATTATGGGAGGGTACTTCATGCATGTGGAGCTGCCAGGAAGGAGTCCTTGAAAAGGATTAGCAGACACTGGAGGCTGCAATTGTTGGGCTGGTTCATGACCAATATAGTACACAGGAGGTTTAGTCATGAAGAGTCTTGAAGGAGAGGACCTGAAGTTTGCATTTATGCAGTGAAGAAGTTGGAGCCAGTGGAGGGACTTCAAAGTGAGTGGGGTAACACTGTCAAAGCTATGTGCCAGGAAGATGGCAGCAGCTTTTTGACTTGAGTGGATTTCAAGAAGGCCAGAGAGGAGGTTAGAGATAGTGCAGGCCTGGACAAGAGTTTTGGTTTTATGGAGCAAGAGAACATGCTAGATATTGGAAATGCTACGAGGGAAGATGCATCAAGAGTTAAGGCTAACCTTAGTTCGTGGTAAGCTAAAGTGTAAATCTACCTACTCTAGCCTGCTGTGTACTACATGTTCCATAGTGCACTTTGAAATGGGTGTAGATTAAAGTGCACAAAGAAACTTAGAGTGCACGGCAGCAGGGTCCACATGGGCACTTCATGTGCGACAGGCTAGCGCGGAGTAGATTTGTACCCTAGCTTGTCACAAAATTAGTGTTCATATGCAGCCTGGTATCATCCAAATTATTTCTGTTTAGCAGAACTTATTTTTCTGAGAATACCTTATTATTCTTTTAGATACAAATCAATTTGGGGTCTCATTTTGCAGGTGGGATTTCCCACTGAAATCAGCAACGAACTGCAGAACTATGCACTAGATTTATTAAAAAAAAAAAAAGAGAGAGATGGGTTGCATACCTTGCTGTCCTTCAGACGATCTTCTTCTTTGATGGCTGGAATTATTTTTAATGTTATTGATCCCTGAGATTGAGCCTGAGAAAAAGAGAGAAATACATTTCTTTCCATTGAAATAGTACAAAGAAACGCTGCAGCACACTCCAATTCAGTTTCTGGTACTAGTGAATTGTCTGATCATCTCAGCCTTCACATGCCAAACCAAGGCTTTCAACTTGGAAAAGATACTTTTTTAGCTTTAAGGTGGTTACCATGATGCCCCAAAGATGTCAAGTGTATATTCTGTTCCTTTTTATCCCTTGTATGCATTACCCTGTGCAATATCCTCTTTATTATGGAGACATGTATAGTGACTTTCAAGCTAAGCCTATATTGAGGCTTGCACTAAAAATCTCTCTTCACGTTTAATTATTACACTTAGTTTCCAATTTAGACACAACTCACAGAATAATAGAACTGTGTCTTTTTTAAGTACAATATTGACTAATTTTTGCATATAAAATTTAGAAAGAAGCATTTTAAAAAGTTTTTTCATGTTTTCTACATATTTTTTCAGGTCCGTCTAGTTAAATAACTATAGTCCCCAGAAACTCTACACTTCACACACATTCTAACTTCATCTCACATATAGGCCCCTTTTGAAACTTTAAAGTTAAACACAGCTATTCCCTTTAGTCAGCATAACAGTTTTGATCTAAAACAAAATTTAGCTGATTGACTGAACAAAGCAGTTCCATCTGCCTCCCTGACCCATCAGCTTCATTCCTCAGAGAACATGGTGAGCCAAGGCACAAGAGGGGAGGTGAGCAGTGGGAGAGAAGGTTCTTTTGGGGCTGTGGCCCTGTTGGTATGAGCAAGTATGTGAAGGGGTAGAAATAAGCAGGGCTTGAGAACAGGAGGGTCTGAGTGGGGCTTTAAGGGGGTGAGGAGAGAGGTTTGCAGCTGTGCAAGAAGCCTATGAGAGACCCATGCCTCTGAGATGAGGCTTCCTTCCGCTCCCTAGCACACCACATTATGAATACACTGTATATATTTTAATGATATTTTTTTTTAATCTGCAATTCTCATGTCATGAACCAATCATGAAAGTGAAGCTCTTGGTCAGAGCCATAGATAACCTATGTGTATCATATTTGTCATGTTCAGAATCAAACTCAAAGTTTCATGCAACTTTCTTAACTTTAAAACTGAAAGCTATTTATTAGATTATAAACAGTTGGAATAAATTCATAAGGACATTGTAAAGACAGCCCAATTCTGTCCTCAGTTATACCTGTGTAATATTATTAACTGAGGGACAAGGGTCACCTATCTACTGCTTTAACAAGCCTACTTGGTAATAATAGATCTCGAAGTAAAAATAAGAGCAGACCAAAATCTGACTAATTTCTTCTGGTCGTTTGTGAAGCACAGCAATCCCATTGACTTCTTTTAGCTCATCTCCAACATGGACAAGACCTAAAAACAAGATAACTATATTAGAACTAATACTCAGCCTGCTAAGCTGCTGCTCACCTATTTACCCACACCCATGTTATCCATATGTACCTAATGACTTTCCATACTAGTCCTGTACTCCTCTGCCAACATTGCACCTTACAGTCTCCTGCCCTCACACCACCTGGCACTCTTCAACTATGACCCATAATCACCTAAAATGGCAATAGGGAGAGAGAGGACACTTTGCAAACCATGTGTCCCATTGTAATGATCAGGAGGAAGTTTAGTGTCTAACCACACTGTCTGTGTACTGGACCTGCAGTGAGGGACCATTTTTACCGCGCTGTTTTCGTACACTAGATCTGAATCCCCTGTCTGCACTTCGGACATTATACCGGAATGTACTTGCAAAGATGGACAACTTTTATAGAATTAGAAGATAAGCTGCTAATTCTTCATGCTGAAAGGCCTCTGCTGCTGTGAGCTATTTACAGACAGCTCTACACAGCATGGCCTCAGAACGTCTGATGGGCTAAATTTTGAAACTATAACCTAGAGCAAACCATAAAGGGTTTAGCTTTGCTCATGCAGTCCAGTTTTGTACTCCTAGTAATGTCAGCACTAGTTACTGACCATATTAGAACTTCACAATAAAATGGCCAGCCAGCAGCTCACAATCATACCAGAGGAACATCTCTCTCCATCTGTTTTAAAGTGGAATTCCCAATTACATCAGTGGGAAGTTCTGCATAGAACTGGACAGAATGATATGGCTCACAATCACTATGGGTCCACACACAAAACATTTACTATGTCTTATTGATTTATGTAAAATACAAATGACCTTATTTATTCGCTGACATCTACCTTTTACAGAAAGACTTAGTACTAACAATAGGATAACTGGGTAGACACTCTTATTTCAGACTAATATTTCTACAAAAGAATATGTAGAAGACCTTTGAAAAGGGTCAGTACAGTAGCCTTGGTGTGTTACATCAACAGTATTCAGAGCTGTTCTGAATACTGGGTTCTGGGTTAAAAAGTAAAAAAAAAAAAAAAAAAAAAAAAAAAAAAA